TCCCCAGCCTCGTTGCCCTTCTCTGGCCCTGCTCCAGCCCCTCCATGTCCTTCCTTCACCCCCTGAGCACGGAGAGTGAAAAGTACCTGACTCTGCTCTGGGCATGATGCTCTGCTGCCCCAGGGAGCTGAGCCCCTGCACCCCCTCTGCCCCCACTGTGGGCCCCACAAGGCAAAGGCAGGGGCCACCTGCCCGCAGGACTCCACATCCCCACCCTGGCACCTTTGGGTGCTCTGGTCTCTGCTGGTCACCCCATCATGGAGGAAGGGGTTCCCTGGGGGTCCCCAGCAGCCTTACCGGGCACCCTCCAGCCTGGTCTGGTGCCACGTGTCCCCCGTGCCCAGGGTCCTGCTCCACTCCCCGGCCTAGGGAGGGACCCCACGGGACACAGGGATTGCTCCTGGATGGGTCCCCTCCGGCTCTGACCTGGGGGGGCAGAGCAGGGGGTCAGCAATGGGGCCAAGGGGGGTGAAGGAGGGAGAGGGGAGCGACCTGGGGGTGGGACAGGCTGTGTCCCCACGGGGAGCACCCACAGCACCCAGCACCCTCTGCCCTGGGTGGCTGCACCAGGATGGGCTGTGATGGGCAAGGACTCCTCGTCCCTGGTGGGAAGGCAGGAGGAGAGAAGGATGGATGGAGAGCAGGGATGGAGACATGGAGGTGGGACACGGAGGGAGGCTGAGAGGGCACTGCCAGGGGACAAGGACACAGTGTCCCCAGTGCAGTGACCTTACTGTGTCCCTTGGGGAGCAGCCCTCGCTGACCCAGTGCAGGCAGCCCAATTCTGGGGTCCCCTGGGTGGGTGGGGGCTCTCCTGGGAAGCCCCTGGCATTGGGCAAATCCCACTGGTGTGGAGCCACCCTGGTGCCCAGGCTGCTGGGATCACACCGGGAGCTTTGCTCAGCTCTGGGAGACACTTTGGGCTTTTGCTGTGATGGGTGGGGGTGACACAGGGGTGGCACAGGACAGGGGTTCCCTCCACCCTCCCCAGACCCCCTTCACCCACTCCTAGGGCACAGGGACCCCCAGACCTTGCCCCCTCCGGGCCGGGTGCTGGTGGCAGTGCTGGCACTGCTGTCCCCACACTGGTGGTGGTGACAGCTCGTCCTGCTGTGGCTCCATGACCCACCTGTGTCCCGCTGGGAATCCCGGGGGGGACAAGCCCAGGTCCCCTCAGTGTCCTTGGGCTCAGGTGCCGTGGGAGCGGGACGGTGACCCGGCTGTGTGAGGGGAGAAATAAACCATTAACCCAGCAGGTAATGAAATGATTAATCACTGGGAGGTGATTAATGCCAGGGCAGCTGTGTCACGGGGGGTGGGACCCTGCTTGGGGGGACACCGAGGCACAGAGAGGGGCTGGGGGTGACAGGGGCAGGGCTGGTGGCCCTGGGAGAGGTGGCAAAGGCGGGATGTTCCCTCCACACCTGCACCACCCACAGCCCTCTGGAGCCACACACGTGTGCGTTGGCACATGTGTGTGCATTGGCACATGTGTGTGTTTGCGTGTACCACCCTGGCCTGGCTGCTGTGTGTGACTGTCCATATGTGTGCAGCTGGAGCTGAGCCCCAGGCTGTGCATGGGGGGGCTCCTCTGGCACATGTATGTGCACGTGTGGTGTCCCATGGCACATGTATGTGCACGTGTGGTGTCCCATGGCACATGTATGTGGATGCTGGGCACCCTCTGACACATGTGTGTGCATGTGTGGTGCACTGTAATACACATATGAGACATGAGTGTGCGTTCATGGTGTCCCCTGGCACACATATGTGCATGTGTGGTGTACTATCACACATGTATGAGACACGAGTGTGCGTGCACGGTGTCCCCTGGCACATGTATGTGCATGTGTGGCACCTTCTGGCACACACATGGCATGTGGGGTGTCCCATAGCACATGTATGTGCACGCTTGGCAAAACTGGCACCTGTATGTGCACGTGTGGTGCCCTGTAGCACACGTATGTACATGTGTGGTGCATTGTAACACATGTATGTGCCTGCTTGGCACCCCCGAGACATGAGTGTGCGTGCATGGTGTCCCCTGGCACACGTATGTGCATGTGTGGTGTCCCCTAGCACACATATGTGCACGCTTGGCACTCCCTGGAACACATGTGTGGTGTCCCTTGGCACACGTATGTGCACGTGTGGTGCATTGTAACACATGTGTGTGATTGCTCGGCATCCTCTGGCACACACGTGTGCAGGTGTGTGAACGCATGACACCCCCTGACACATCACTGTGCTCGTGTGGCAGCCTCTGGCACATGTGCAGGCATGTAGCACACGTATGTGTGTGCTTGGCACCCTCTGGCACACACGTGTGGTGTCCCATGGCACATATATGTACATGTGTGGTGTGTTGTAGCACACGTATGTGTGTGCTTGGCACCCTCTGGCACACACGTGCGTGCTTGTGTGGTGTCCCATGGCACATGTATGTACGTGTGTGGTGCATTGTAGGACATGTGTGTGATTGCTTGGCACCCTCTGGCACACACGTGTGTGCTCATGTGGTGTCCCATGGCACATGTATGTACGTGTGGTGCATTGTAGCACACATGTGTGATTGCTGCCAGGGCAGTGCTGGGCTCCCCAACCCCAGAGGGATTTAACACACGTGTGGATGTGGCACTTGGGGACAGGGGGCAGGGGTGGCCTTGGCAGCGCTGGGACTCGCTGATCCTGGAGGGCTTTTCCAATCTACAGGATTCCCTGATTCCTTCTTCACACACACACAGAAAGCCAAGCGTGCAGGCACACAGGGACACGCGTGGATACACACACACATGTTTGCACACACCTGCACACACACACACACGTGTGCACACACACACACACACACACGACTCTTTGCACATCCCAGCGAGGCAGGAGCCCCTCAGGCTGGATCAAAGCTCCTTCCCGGCAGTCCCAGTGGCTCCAGTGCTGGAAAATCAGGAATAATCAGCCTCCAGGACCAGGCTGGATCCCGCCCGTGTCCTTCCCGCTCGCGGGGATGCCGGGGGTGGGTGACATCTGCACCTCACCCTGCTTGGAAAAGCTGCACAGAGGATCAGGACCCTCCTGCTGGGAGCCCCGAGGGGACTGTCCCAGGGCTGGGGGATCCTGAGCACTCCTGGGATGCAGCATCACTGTCCCAGGGAACCCCTCAGGCTGTCCCACCTCCCTGGGCTCCCTGGGGACAAGATCCAAGTGCCAACACCTGCCCTGTGCTGGGCACTAACACGTCCTCCCGGTGCCACAGGTAAATCCAAGTCAACCTGGTCCCAAAGGGAAATCCAACCTCACCCTGATCCCACAGGGAAATCCAACCTCACTCTGGTCCCACAGGGAAATCCAACCCTACCTGGTCCCACAGGGAAATCCAACCTCACCCTGGTCCCAAAGGCGAATCCAACCCTACCTGGGCAAACAGTGCTGGACAAACCCAGTGAACCCCTCCAAGCACGAGCAGTTTCTGGGGCCTTAACGTGGTCTCAGCCTGAAAAAGCTCCTGGAGTCACATGGAAGGTCTTTGGGGCCGCTGGCTCCTGCTCTAATGCCCCTAATGGGATGTAGGAGGGAAG